ACACATGATATTACTTTGTGGTCATAATTTATGACACTGGTGGACAACAAGTCATTTTTATGACACAGAAATGTTTTTGGGCCAGACAAAACAGCATTGATAAATCTGTTAAATCTGATATTTTAACCATCATTTCTCCTTTTTTACCCTCCCCCCCCCCTTTTTTTTTTAGGGGGGTTCAATGATTAATGTCGCAGAGGCAATGTCAATATCTAGCTCCAAAATATTAGTATATTAAGATTTGGTACTTACAGATTTATACTATGCAGGGATAAGAACTGCCAGCAGGATTTTAAATATTGTTTAATGTTGTTATTTTTCCTTTTTAAAATATAATATGACCATCATATAATGATAATAATGGGTTTGTATTTAATTTTATTGCTATTGATATAAGCTTTAAGACTTCTAAATATTACTCCATCAATATTCCCCTTTCAAATCATTTTTTTATTAAAATGTTTATTAGGAAAGGTCATACTAATATAAAAGATTTAAGAGTTTTCTAGTGCAAGAAGCTGGTGTAAGATCAAATAACAGGAGGATGAAAGTCCATGTTTTATATATCATCGGTTGAAAGCTAGAAACTCAATCCTTTTGGATGAATTGAAATTTGTTTCCATTGAAATGTGTACTACAGGAACCTATACTTAAAGACCACTTGCCTAAAAAGTCCACTAATGTACGTCTCCCTCGAGTGGTCTTTATCAACGGGCTTCACTGCTTAGTCTTCATTACAGATACCCTTTTATACATTAGTTAAATCATAGAAGCCTTAAAAAAAGCTTGAAGAAACAGACAATCTGACAATTTTTCATTTTGTAAGAAGAATATATATGATAATGTGCATTCCTCATACAGTGTGTATTATATGCATTTAGAAAACCTAAACCAAATCCTTCTGTAACTCAGCGGTAGTCATTTGTCTACATTATCTGAATTTGTAAGCTCGGGACCTAACACCATATCTAACCCTAACCCTATACCTTACATAAAGCTCAATTGCAACCTTAGCTCAAACCGTATATCTTTAATCAAATAAAGCATGGAACAATTGTCAGTTCATTAAAAACCAAATAGCATGGCTTTGTTGGAGTGACTCTGGTTCATATCGACTTTCAATACCAGAAAACAAGAGCAAGACATCAATCTGCATTTGCCAGTTGCCACCCAGGTCAAGTAAATACCGGTACAGGTAGGTACCCAGTAGTTTGAACTCTTGAGCGCCTCTTGAAGGTAGCCATAAATTAGGGGTAAAAATATGATTGCAGGGCCCTTAGACAGAGCAGTATTGTGAGGCTACCCTGGATAAATATGATTGCAGGGCCCTAAGGCCATTAAAAAAAATATACATGTTTAGCGTTCCCGCCCGCTTCCTTATAGGGGGCCGCCTCCTATTTTTTTTTTTTTTTTAATTAAAAAAAAAAAAAAAATTAAAGAAAAACTAGATGGAACTTCGACTGCGCGCAGTCGAAAATGATGCCTCCGTCATAGAGCAATTTTAGAAACCAAAACAGAAGAAATTTTTAAAATTCCAGCTCAATTGTAATCCATTAACAGGTTCTCAGAATATCGTGATTACAAGCAATTTCTCATATACATATATGACCCTTTGATCTTTGACCTCATGACCCTAAAATCTACTCAGTTCATTGGCTCTGCAAGATGTCCTGAGTTAAATAGTAATCCATCTGTCAGTTCTAATGAGAATGCTTTCACAAGCTATTTTTGCATACATAATGAGCCAATGACCTTTGACCTTTGACCTTATGAACCAAGAATCTACTCAGTTTATTGGCTCTGCAAGATACATAACTGAAGTTTGGCAGGAATCCATCAATCTGTTCTAATGATTGTACGATCACAAGCTATTTTTTGCATACATAATGTGCCCTGTGACCTTTGACCTTTGACCTCGGTACCCCAAAATCTAATCAGTTCATCGGCTCTGCAAGTAACATACATGACCTAAGTTTGGCAGGAATCCATCAATCGGTTCTTGAGATAACGCGATCACGAGCTGTTTTTGCATACATAATGAGCCCTGTGACCTTTGGCCTTTGACCTCGTGACCCCAAAATCTAATCAGTTCATTGGCTCTGCAAGATACATACATGACCAAAGTTTGGCAGGAATTCATCAATCGGTCCTTCAGATAACGCGATCACGAGCTGTTTTTGCATACATAATGAGCCCTGTGACCTTTGACCTTTGACCTTGTGACCCCAAAATCTAATCAGTTCATCGGCTCTGCAAGATACATACATGACCAAAGTTTGGCAGGAATCCATCAATCGGTTCTTCAGATAACGCGATCACGAGAACGGGACGTACGTACAGACGTACGGACGGACAACCCGAAAACATAATGCCTCCGGCTACTTCGTAACGGAGGCATAAAAACATGAAAAACACTGCTAAAATGGATATATTTCTGATTTCAAAAAAAAAAATTGGCGGACATCTTGAAAAATAGCCCGACTGTCAGGGAAAATGTACCGAGCGGCCATTTTGAGCGGCCATTTTGAAAAAAAAAAAAAAAAAGGGCCTCCTGCTTCCTATTTTTCAAAAAAGCAGGACGCCAAACACGTTTTTTTTTTATTTGGCCTAATAGAGAGAACAGTGTTGTGAGAGTACCCTGGGTAAATATGACCATACTATACATCTTTATTATTTGTATTACTTACGCTTCCTTCTAAGAAGTCTAAGATACACTGTACTCCATCACCATCATCCACACAGTTTGTATCTATAGACCCTGTGTAGGCTGCCTCACATGTACTTGCTGTGAAGGAAAAATGATATCAAGTCAAAAAATAAACAAAATATCTATCACTATTTAAAAGCGATTGTAGCAAAGTATATTCCTTTTTTCTGTATTTCATGGAAGATATAAGTATAAATCACAATTCTTTAAAAAAGAAGTAAAAATGATGGCTCGTACTAACTTGCTGTGAGGTCAATACAACATCAAATTCAGAGATACGTGGACTCTTCATCATGATATTTGGGGATATCATGTTCACTTGTTGAAAACTAGCATTGTTATGTTATTCAGTTCCTGTAGATGTACCTTGGCAATATGCAGAAAGCATCATATCCCTGGTACATAGTCAAGGCTCTGTCTTCTGAAGCATTGCAACAGATGTGAATCAATTCTAGCTCAAAATCAGATTGATTCTTATCACAACTCTTCATGAAATAAGAGATTTTCAATTGATTGGAGGACTCACTTGATTTTTTTTTTCTTCATTTGAAATTAATTTTTTTTCATGTCTTTCTACTACATCTCCTTGATTATTAAACGTTTTATTATTTATGGATTTCTGACATCAGCTCATTAGAATAGCCTCATACGAGAACTTTGTTTTCTTCTTGTGATCCCAGGCAAATAGTTTCTATTCTTTGTTCTTGCACCTGGCTCTCTTGTATAGCATGTTATTGTCATATTGCCTTGTGTTCCTGGAAATGTAAGAAGAAGACTGCGATCAGTTGGAGGACTTACTCTGACTGTAGTTGTTTCCTAAGATGATTTCTGGGATGACGATGAAACCAAACATGATGAAGAAGATGTAGAGGTTGAGAAACAGAAGCCACTTGAGAAAGACAAAGTACGACACCACCGCTGTCCCAAACTTGCCTAGATATTAGAGTAAGAGCCAAACATGGATTGTTACAACAGATAATTACAGACTCTTCTCTTCACACAAACAAATAATACATGCTACAGGCTGATTATATTCAAGTACACTAACATACCAAACGATAGCAGCACAAAAGAGGAAAATATACCATTTGCTTCCTATTGCATATTGTTTATAGAATTTGTTGCCAAGCTATGGAATGGTTACCACTTACCAAAATTTGGTAATTTAATGTTTTTGTGGTACGATTCTTTGATGTAAAGTTAGCATACAAATGTTGTAGCTGTGTTAAACCAGCAGGAAAAATCATATTCAAATTCTGCCCCATCAAGTGTTGACAGCTTATTTCATCTTTAGAAACAACAGCTTAAAAATGATGTCATTTTTACCTTCTACTTCTTTGAGTGATGAGCGCCATACTTCAAAGCGTAACCTGAAGTCATACAAGTTCTCCTTTGTTCGTTTCCATTTCTGTATTACAAGAATACACAGCCATCAGGCAAAGAGAGAGAGAGAGAGAGAGAGAGAGAGAGATGGGGGTGATACAGAGAGAAAGAGAGAGAGAGAGAGAGAGAAAGAGAGAGAGAGAGAGAGAGGAGAGAGGGAGGAGCAAAAATAGTAAGTTAATCCATTAACTAATTTTACATTCCCTTTCTGTTTTTTGCTATGTGTACATGTACATGTATTCTTAAAATATTATACATGTTTATATTGTTTTCTAATAGAAGCTCCACACGTTAATACACTGTAGCTTCAGAAGATTTTTTGTTTTTGTTTACATTAATGCCAAATATAATCAACAGTAAGACTCTAGAAAAGACCAGATAGTACTCCAAGCCTAAATGTACGTACTCCCTCCCCATGCCAAACATGTCCAATCTATTGCTGGTTTTGTGTGTCCGCCATATTTTAAAACAAATTAATTGTTTATGAATTTGCATACTTTGTTCTTTATTTCAACTTCAATACTGAAATGAAACTATCTGAAAGGAACAGGAGTACAATTTGATAGTCACAAACAAAAAACTTACATAAATTTAAAATGATAGCATCGATTGTAAGTTCATAACCTGTTCTGAAACTAATTGGAAACGATAGGGCGGGGAAATAAGTGTGATGTACATGTACAATGCATGCATGGACAAAATATTGGCCTACAAATATAAGAGTATACACGGGTCATATTAACAATACATGTTTGAGGAAGCTGGCCAATTTCATGGAATCTGATTACCATGGTTCAATAAATGAGGAAATCAACTCATTGGCAACCTGAACCAGGATGCTGACAAATGTTTCGTTCATTAGGTCTGTCCTTATCAGACCAAAGTTGCAAAATAACCTGCTATTTTAACTAGCCTGATCTTAAATTAGCCAGATAACTTGCGTCTTCATCAGCCCGCAGTTGCAATTACCGAGCTACTTGGTTAAGAAAATATCCTGAGAAATGTTGGTCTTGTTTCTAAACTAGCCTGCTATTTGGGAAATAGTGGGCTAATTCGCGCCCGTCCAAGCTAGTATGTGATGAGCATATATCAGTCTGGTGAAGACGCAATTTCTAGCTTTGGGAAAATATCCAGAGTTTGGAAATAGCGCATTGTTTTGCAAATTCGGTCTGATGAATTCAGGCCTATTGTGGCATGTGTGAGACTACAGTATACACAATTCAATTTCACCCCAAAAAAGACTTCATATAACAATGTAGACAATTCACTGTGATGATTGAGGTTTGTGGTATGCCATTCATCAAGAGTTCACCCTCATTCGAGCAAACAAACAATAATAATAGGTATTCATATTTTAGTGACTTTCCTGCAAACTCATACATTGAGCAGTACTAGCTGAAGAGTTCACACGGTAAAGAAAACAGGTCGGAGGATTGCCCCCCTCTTACAGTGTATGCTGTTTCAAGTAAATAGATTTTATGAATGATAAATGTACAGTACATGTACATGTACATGTAGCTCTGTATTTGAATTGTGAAATATCTTGATCTTTCCTGTCCTTTATTTCAATATATTTTTTTCTCCAAAACCTGGCCAAACCTCTAAAATTGAGCTTCCATAGTTAAAGAAAATACACTACACATGAAATATTTGGAGAAAATAATATTAGTTTACACATCTGAAGATCTTTAACATTGCCCATTTTAGTGAAACAAACTACATTGCATACATGTACATGTAAATAGTTCCCACATTGGATTCTGATAAGTGAACAAATTATAATTGGGTGTTTGTTTAGAAAACATACTGAATATCAATGATGCATCGCTCACAATGATTTTTCCACATGAACTTCAAACCTCAAAACCTGTCCATTACATGGAGTACAGTATTTGTATCTACTTGTAAACCAGCAATATGTATATGGGTTCATTATTACAATTTTAAATTAGGAAAAAGGTTACAAGACTTGTGTTAGAATTGAAGCAATGTCTAGTTATAAAAGGTCGTAACAGGAGTACAAGCTATTTCAAAGCAAAGCAAACACAGCAGGGGACAAATAGAATCACAATAGAACAGAATCACAATAAGACAGCATAGATTTTTTCTTTTAACATATGTCATTTTGGTGAGTCAAACTCAATTCTGTCCTAATACAGGTTTGAAAAGATTTTTTTTTTAAGGTGAATTTGGTTAGGGTGTCTTCTTTATTTCAAGCAATACTGTAGTTATCATGCAAATATACACGTAGACAACCTACTTTAGAATAGAATGATCGACAGTACATAAGTACAACCTACTTTAGAATAGAATGATCGACAGTACATGAATGTACATACATATTTGCACAATGACAGGCAAATGTGTATCTATCTCCTTTGTCGACTAAAGACTGACATCAATATACATATAAACATGTAGATTTAGTGAATAGAGTCCTCATTTCTTTGCCCCTTTGCGTGGGTCCACTTTGATTGATTTCATATTTGTACAATTCTGCTTTGTCACTTACCGGTATGTACATGTATATTTCCTGAGTGTATATTGACATGTATGTCAACTACTCTGTTTTACTCTTAATATATTGTTCATGTACTGTGCATTTCATATTACAGCTACAATGTAATTATAGTGTACATTTTCAGGTACATGTATACTCTCAGAGCCTTGAATATTTCTGCAAAATGGATATGGCCTTATTTATTTACAAATAGGCATTATTATTATTATTATTATTATTATTACTTTTATTTCACATGTACATCTTGAAGAAATAATAGTTAAACTTACCAATGCAATATTATATTTGAAGGCTTTCCAACCAGATAGCGCTTTCAGCTTACCCTTTCCATACTTGTTCCTAAATGGAAGAAAAATATAAACATATTTAGAAAGTTAGGTAAAATACATCTCTGCACATACATGTACATGTATATACAGGTAAAAATTAATGGATAAAAAGGAATTCACCCTTTCACATTATAATTTTTGGCTCTGGTGACTGGTCTCAAGTCTTTGGTGTCTTCTGTCTTCAATAGTAAGAGGGGAAAAAAAAAAAAAAAAAAAAAAAACAGATCCAAAAACAAACAAACATGGAAGTGATAATGTAGAGTACAAAAAGATATTAATCAACTATGATTGCAATGAGTCGCTTCCAAATCCAATATCTCTTTAAAGCGCTTTTATGATACTACATGTACATGTACATGTAGTTATTTGCTTGCCTCACATGTATGTTTTACTTTCTAAATTACATTAACTGTACACAATTGTATTATTGTCTATTGTATAATGGTAGATGACCTTAAAGGCCCACTGCACTACTTGCAGCTACTTCTGCCCTCTGTATAACAAACAATGCCTAAACGGTGACCATTGGTCCCCCATGATCCTCTTTTTCTTATGTTAACTGAGAGCTGAGTTGATGAGATAACCATCTGTCCAGTGACCTTACAGGGTAGTCTAATCCCTCCTGTAAACTACAGCAGATAAGCTTTAAGGTCTATAAAGTAGCCTCACTTGTCTGATATTTCAAAGTTTTAAAAGTTTTGAAATAAATTTCATTTACTGTACAGGTGTGCAGCTACATGTACATGTACATGTGCTTTAGAGAAATAGCTTTCTATATATTCCTCTTTAAATAAATGGCAAAGTAATGAGTTTGAGTAAATAAAGTGAACGTTGATTACAACATGCTTATTTCGATAGCAACGTAAAATATAGATTGCTAATCCAATCTGAATGATAGGAGAAACACTCCATCATGATTCACACCATGCATGAAGGCAATCAATTATACAAAAAGGTGAAGGGACCTTGCAGACAATGGGTTACATAGTACTGTTAATGTTGCAGTCCTGAGCACGCTTAACTAATTAATTTATGAACCATATTTAGTTGCAAACCACACTTACCCTTCCCTGCAGAATGCAAAGTGCATTTCAATATGAATCACCTTTTTAAATTTAAAAAAAAGTAGAAATTGAGCGTGTTTTTGAGATGACCTTTACTGCATGAACAAAAATCGTAGTCTGCTGAAAATGATTATATTTTGTGCTATTTTTCTTTACAGACTTCATGCAAATATTCATAGATTTGCTATAACATCATGAGATATAATGTATACTTATATAGCTTTACAATATTGACTTGTTTTGACAAGTTTTTCAAGGTCTATTTTTTTATTAAGATTTACAATGAATTAATTTCAAACATATTTTGTGAGACATAAAAGTGTATATTGCTCGATGAAGGACCATGCATGCGTACCTGTACATGTATTTCTGACACACTGGACATCTAAATACAACGCTTCAAACTATTCAATGAACTTCAGCATGCCCTTACATGTACATGCAGACCATAACTCAGAAAGTAACCTCCAAGGCTCCAAGTTCACAAATTTTCATATAAATTACAATGTTTTATAAAATCTTTTGCAGTGTACAAAATACTATTTTGTAAGAATTTGGTGTGGTAAAAGTGTGATTTCATGTGATACTGCTCACTCCTCTTGTGTATTTTTCTTCACTGATGCTTTGACACAAACTGCTTCATCTCTCCTGTTCATTTACCTTGATACTGCGAAGCCAGAAACTTTTGCAATATGAACTTGCAATTTTAACAACTATTTCTACAGAAAGAAGATTTCAAGAATTTTCACTAAATTAGTTTGCATCAGTTTCTAAATCAATTATTTTGAAGTATGAAACTTTTGCAACCACTCACAAAATTTGTGAAAATTTATGCAAAAATTTCTGGTGACAGATATGATCTTTAAACACATGTACACATGTACGTGTAAGAACCATGCACATGGGGGAGGGGGAGGGGGTGGAGGAGGGGGGAACGGACCACACCTTGACAAGAACATTAAATCAGTCACTCTCATGCCAACAATGAGATAAGACTCACAAGAACTCTACTTGTTCCTCTTCATCCATCATATCCACAAAGTCTGCTATCGATGGTCTTCTTCTCGCTGTACCCAGGCTACTGTGGGGTAACCCTACACGAACATCCGACTCGGACAATGCTCGACTGATATGACTCCCTCGCCTTGACAACAGCAAGTTAATGGCAATATTTGTAAACACTCATTCATGTTTACATGTACATCTTTTCATATCAAATATGATCAAACAATCTACATAATAATGTACATAACATTAGGTTACCTACCAAATATCTGCTCAAAGCCAGAACGACAATTACAAATCAGATTCTAGACTGAACACCCTGTTGAAAATCCGGTGGCAATTGTAGAAAAACAAAGAGTATTATTGCCATTTCTGCTTCAAAAAGAAAAATGATTCAGTTCTGCCTTGGACTGAAACAATCAATAAGCTGTGGTAGTACTGGTACTGTTCCAGGCAAGGTCACAATCCACAGGCAAAATTGATCTTTGTATATAGGTACAGTATATTTCAAACATTCATCCAGGGCTCTTACTACAATAATTAATTAGATTTACATCAAACTTTCGCTATTCAGTTTCTCTTATTTTTCTCCTTCCATACAAATGAACTTATTACAATGGTTGGATTGCCCTTTAATGAAAGATGTTTAAGAATGGAGGTGTCCGGTAAACAGATATAAACCTACATTATGTAGGTCCATCATATACAAATCAATTATCTAGAAAACTACCTTTTTTTTACAAATCTAAAGATGAACCAAAATTACAAAGATAGTATTTTCACTATTGTGTGGGTATTTTACTCTTTGTTGGAGAAATTGTGTAGAACAAAAACTACTTGTAAGGTATCCATTTTATTTATACCAGCAACAAAAATGAAATTCAACACGTACATGTACTGTACAGTACAGTCGGAGTATCTATAAAAATTCCAAACTTCTGCCTGATAATTCAAATTCTGTTACCTGTTCAATATGCTACGTCTCTCCACTAAGTTAGTCTGTGGATGGGACATACTCTGTGACGTCATGCCCATATCATCACTGCCATTCTCCTCTGGTTTTACATTTATTCTATGAACACCCATCATCATTTAATTTGCAGTTGATTAATCACTTCTTCTTTTATTAGGGCAGATATTCACCACCAATGTCCAACTTGAAACTAAAAGGCATACACTGTCAGCTAAATGCAGAATGCAGCCTGTGCTACGCAGAAGACACATGAACAGGCTTTAATAGATAATAGCATTGGTTCCAAGGTACATACAGTACCTGATTAATTTTTATCCAGGAGTTACATTATCATCAACATCTTGAACATTGAACAAGCTTGATAAGATAAAACCCCCACTTGGAATTTACAATCAACCAGACCAAAGGTTTACAGACATCTTTGTTTGAACATGTATGCAATCAAATTAAACCTTCATTAAATATGGATACCGGTAAGCATATTTTTAGGCTTTCCCGTTAGTCCCTTCAGTCATACATGTAAATACTGCAAACTCCACTCACCTTTGAGTTTCTACCTCCATGGAAATATTTTGTGTATCTAATGAAATTACTTTGCTAGAAAAGACAGTTTCAACTTTTATATTCCAAGACACCACTACCGGTACACACTGACTGAGGCTCCAAATAGAAGTACTCAGCTGGTTGCGCAACGGCTTGATAACTGATATCATATCTACCTCAGGATGTACATGTTGAACCTTGTTCCTTCCTCGAATAATAATAAAATTAAGTACTGATTTCAGAGAACAAAATAGTTTTAACGACAGGAGAACATCAATCAAAATTCAGATTGGTTGGATGTGGAGTTCATGGTGTTTGCTTTTGTCTCCAGAGAGACTTCATTTTGTTTGTCACACTATTCCTTCATCTACTGTCAACTCAACATCACTCTGGACTTGGTGAAGGGTAAGAAGCATTCACTTTGTTTTATTGAATGCATGGAATTACATTAATTATTGTTAATGATACCAGTCATTGTAAAGAGTATCCTTTTATCTCATTTATGTTTTTCATTTGAAAGAATCATTTTCCTTCACGAAATCACAGGCCGGCACTCAAGGAAAACTGTAAGGTACTGTACATGTAGCAACTATGAGTACTGTACACCTAATTTATACAAGTTCCAAAAGTATTATAAAATTGAACTTTCTTTCAAGTCCTGCTGTTGCTTGTTATGTACAACAATCAAACTCCACTCTCTTGCAGGCACAAACAGTGAACACAACAAACAAAGCTTTGTATCTTTTTCAATTTTCATAAATCAATCTGAGAGATTTTAAATCAACAGGTGGTCTACAAAAGGAGCTCTTGCATCAAATGCTGTGTTTAAATGCAACTCAAATAATTAAGCACAATTAACTTGATTATCATTTTTTAACTGATCAATATTGCGTATTTGGGAATTGGGAATAACTATTTCAGTTACTTTTTTTAAAATGCAACTTGTTATATTTAGGGAAGAAAGTTGATACATAAATTATTATTACCCCACTGTACAAGGAAAGCAAGCAAGGGACATCCAACTGTCTGTAGTATTTTGGTGGACTTGGTTTGAACTTTGAACCTTGACCTATCTAATAACAGTACCTGTACCACTGTTTCATTCTGTATCCTTGTAAGCATAATTAACAGGTACAAATTTCTTTGATATGGACCATTAGGTTTCATACCGTAGGTTCATTTCAACTTACACTCTCAAACGTAAGATTTAAACAAAATATGATTTACTTTTGTTATGCTTTTTTTTAAAGAATATATTTCAAGTTGTATATAGATCTATGCATGTAAGATTTTACAATACATGGTCTTAGTATACTCTCAGGACCTACAATGTACATGTAATTTGTATGTGGGTTATAAATAAATAGTAGTAATACAAGTTATTACATGTACATGTACATGTAGACTAACTTTTGTTTTCATTGTAACCACTAAACGCACAAACAAACAACTTGAAGTTCTGCAGTTTTGGCAACAAGTTTCATCCAACTTTAAACAGGTATAGGCTAGATATCTAAAGTTTATTATTAGTTTGCTTTTAACTTACCGTAAGTTTATATTTATTTTTTTGCTAATATCTATGACTCTTGCTTCAGTTTTGCTTGATTTGAAAATATGTAAGATTTTGGTATTTAAACCTGATTTCAAATTCAAACAACAGATTGTACCATGGTTTCACGGTTAACCATGCAGTGCTCCAAGCTTAAGAAATGGAGCTGTACTGCGCACTGGTAACCATTACTAGGTGACCATCTAACTACATGTACATAGTTAGATGATAATCCATGACTCTGTGAATATTTTTAGGCAACTTCATTAACTTTATTAATTCATTAATAACTTCTTAATAATATTTGTAAACTAGATCTAGATCTAGACTAAATTTGTATTTTTTGTACCAAGTTTAAAATGATCTTACTGATCTGTCATGTCATACCTCACTTTTCTCCTAAAAACTCACCTTATACTTCGCCTTCTGTCAAGGGTAGCAGGGACGGATTTGATGACTTTAGCCCTCTTTTCCATTGCGTCTTCTGAATAATCGTCCTTGTATTTATTCATTTCATATTCCACTGCCGCGTCAATGTGCCCGTGGTGTAAGCTGATTCTCGACACCGGTCGCGCCCGGGACACAGGGCGTCCGTTTGCGTTCGACATGGTGGCTGCCGCTACTGGAAGATTGTTGCCTTCTAAGTTTTGTAACTCTTCTTCTACCTCAACATTGGAGACGGTTGCAGGAGTCTTTGACGCCTGTTTGGCAGACCCAGACCCATATATATCATTTGTACTTGGTGATACTTCGTCCAATTCTTGATCGTCTGTAAGGAGAAATGGAAAATGAATTGTTTTAATCGAACTTTCTAAAGTTCACAACTTCCGCTCCGCTGTACACATTCGACAGTATAGTATTCCGCGATCCTAGTTCTTTAAAGTTGCGTGTGTACCGTACCTTATACCTGGCATGGTGCCTGTACGGTACCTGTGGTAATAGCGACCTGTAAATTGTTAGTGTCCCACAAAACATCGATAAAGTATAAGGCCTAAAAAATAACTTGTTGTATTGTCCTTTAGGTGCCAAAACATGGTTCGGTCGGTCGGAAATCTTCTTTTTCTATGAAACTATGTTTCTTCTTTTTTTTTTCCTCCCTCTTTGGGAAGATATTTTTCAGTTTTCAATGCTTTAATAATTTTCTTCTCTAAAAAAAAAAGGCTAAACAAAAAAAATAATTAACAAGCCGACCGTTGATTTCAAAATGCAATTAATACAACATGCTTTTTCTTGTTAAGGCCTAAACGTCGGGCTAATAATATCCCATTCATAAAATTTTAGCCAACCTCTCATTTCCCAAGGGAATCTTTGCAATTATGACCTAAATTCCGCCTAAATTAATTCATAAATTCAGCAAAATGTGTAAATAGCACTGCCAATGGGCCTACTTGGCATGCTCTCTCTCCTATAGCTCAAGGACCCCCTCATATTACAGACACTTCCATGCAATCAAACTTACTGCAATTTTAGAAAGTAACGAAGCAAAGAAATGCACTTATCAACTTAGTCCCTTATTATGAACAATAACAGTAATGCGATTTTATATGGATGCGCGTCATTACTATAGTAGAGTCTGTCTCGGTCCGATTACAAAATGATATAGGCCTAAGCCTATCATGTACGGTTGCTTGTTTTTATTTTCAGTACCTGATTCTAATTTGTATTAAACCCCCACAAAATGTTACCGGTCGTACATACCATCAAAATAAGACCCCCCCCCCCCCACAAAAAAACAACAACTAAGAACACAATACACACCAATACAAAATTTAAAAAACCGCCGAAAATTAGAAGGTTTAAGGTTCAATACTAAAGGAACTTATCATATTGTCGAGGTAGTCGGGATAGCATGGGTAAAGGCCTACATAGGGCAACAACTTCCAGATATCCCATTCGACTCAGAAACTGAATAGGCCCTAAATGAAATATAATTCAAAGTTTCGACACGGCTGGTTACATATGGCAAGTCATTATCCTCCCCAGGATGATCCTGGAATTCGCCGGGCTTTCAATAATATTAATAAATCAAAATTTTTGATTGACTGATTATTATTATTATTATTATTATTATTATTTTTACATCCCGCCCCAAACTCCCGACTAGTCTATAGACCTACTTCCCCTTTTTTTTTCTTTTGGAGGGGGGGGGGGGGGTGGTTGAATTATAATATGCATATCTAAAGCCCTATAATATAAGGCTGCACGGTTTGTTAGTTTCATCATTCAGAAAGCATGACCGTGCTAATGTATTGGTGATTGTTTAATGATCATGCAAGGACGATGATAAAATTGATCGACACTTCGATTCAACGACCAAAATGGATTACTGTCATACTATCTGTTGCCGTATTTACAGATTATAGATTTGATATATCGAAGACCATTACTGTCATTAGCAAAATCATGTACGTATTTAAATTTATCAATTAGTTTATATTCTTGAAAATACCTTAGACCAAAATGCACTTCATAAGATCTATCTTATAACAACCGACGATGTGTCTGCATGATTACCACCCTAAAGATATAGGACAAGAATAACAACAATAAACACAATCTTTCATTTTTATGAACTAAAATTATGCGAAGCAGGACAGGGTGACAAATTAATCTCATAATCCTTTCAAAAAACAAAAAAGAAAGGAAAAGTCCGTTGACGTTGCTATTGGAATAGAATCTTCATCGACGCAAGATTCACAAAATAAATAACTGTTTTCCCTTTTCGTATGACGGGACGTCATAAATAAAGTGATTCAATTTTGTTTATTTTTTGCGAAACCTACCAAGTTTCATCAGTCTTGCTGGAGGTAGATAATGTTCTATTCCGGGAGCGTTTGTTGTCACTGGTTGAGGAGCGATGTGTCTTTCCAACTCCACGTTGAGAGGGGCTAACTTATTCATTAAAACATTCCACCTCCTTGTAATATACTTCCAGAATGATGCGGAGACATTAATTCACAGCAAAATCACCGTCTCAAATCACATCAAGTGTTACCTCTGAATTATTGTCCTAGCATCTAGAGTTCTAGACTATCCTTCACTTTAGGCTCAAGTTTAACTATCATGTATGATGTGATGCGACCAATAAGACTGATTTACGAGATGAAGATCAGTGACAGTGAAATCCTATTCCCTCTCACAAGGCGACGCCATTTTTTGTTTCTTGTCAGAGCAACCAGGCGTGGAAGAAGAACTAATCGATAAGTTTTAGTTGCATTGATGTCATCGACGAGAGGGCTGGGGCGGATCCAGCCGGCGGCAGGGGAGGGGGCCAAAGAGGGGGCCCAATTCGGGTAGTGAAATCAATTTTTTGTTTGCATTTGTATTACAAATTACGAGGCACAGGAAAGTTCATCGATTAGAATTAAAAGGCAACCTTAACAAATTTGATCTTGAATCCACGGTGATACGAATCCAATAAAGTTTCGTCTTCAAGTTCCTACACAGACGACAAAGCATAAAGTCAGGAGTGCGGCCAGACGTTTCTGAATTAGGGGAGGGGTGCAAACTAAATGTGTCGACAAGAGATACAAAAAGTCATCAGATTTTCATGCTGAATTGCTAATAGAGTGAAACTTATCCATTATAGTCATTAGAAAGACAAACACGTCACAGGATCGAAAAATATCAAATCTGCCGACAGAAAATTTTGTAAGGGGGTCACCTACCCTTGCCCCCCCCCCCCCCCCCCCACCGCGACGCCCCTGGACTACTCACAGGATCTGACAGTCACCACCATCCTTCATCTTCTCTATTATGACGTAATACTCAGACAATAGAATGGTCTTAAATTGTCCATTCAGTTTGCTTAGCAAGGAATAAAGGGTTGTTTTTGTTAGTGTCTTGGGTACACTGTATACACACGGGTCTTCCCTCTTTGTCATGCAAAACGGTAGTCTTATACCTTGCTGTGGACACGATACAAACACAGCCGTCTGTGCAATCAAGCATGCAATGAACCATGTCTCGATAGCAAGTGCTTATACCACCTCCATTATTTCACATCTTGACCTTGTCTCAATTCAATTTTCATCCAATCAAAAACAAGCCTCGTATACATCACATTACTTTTATGAAAAACAAAGGAAAGTCGTTTTCCGCAAAATATTACTGCCATGTGTTTATAACCTGAAAAATACATCTTGAAAAGAAAAGTATAATTATATACGCATCTCTTTGTGCGTTTAGAGTTTATTTTGCTTTGAAGAACTGACTGACATTGATTAAAAATGTATATATATTATACTATTTCATTTAGATAGATATGCAGAGAGAAAGATAGAAACATACTGTTCCCTTTTGATTCCTCAGCTTGTGACCTACATATTTTGTTTTGATCTTTTCACACTTTATTTCCTTTCTCTTGCTTATCAATCATTTAATCTTTTTTTTTTCAACTTGGAATGACCAATTCGGGCAACCGCTACTGGGACAGTGAGTAGGTTTATGAATGCAGTATCATAATTATTTTGTCGATTTTGATGACGAAATAAATAGCAAATTTTATTGTCGAGTGTTTATATATTTTGCCTGCTCGCATCGCTCACTCGTTATAGAACATGATATAGACAATAGAGAATCAATGTTTTGCAAATTATGTCCAGAAATCAACCCCTAGCAAAATAATTATTATGCATACCAGTTAATATTTTCGGTGCATTTTAGACTAAACGATGCTTGATTTTCTGCAGCATTGCGGACGATGAAAGGACCACAAAAATGATTTAAATATTTGATAATAATTTGATATTGGATAAGAACAAGTATTCTTTACTCTTGAAACAATCAAGTAAAGTTAAACGTTAAAATCTTTCTTTATATTTCATACTGAAAAAGAAATTTATAATTTCCTTTTGCTATATAGAAACATTAAACCCCATAAACATAATAGCTTTCCTTAGTAAGTGGCAAGAAAAAATATGCTAAAATTCTCAAAATCATAACAATTAACGATCCGACACACAACACTACATCCTAGGACAAGACAGTACACCCGGTTTCTTTTGATTGATTCATCGAAGGATTTTCCATTCTCGAAGTCCAGGACTGAATTGCAATAGTTACCACAGTTTACAATGTATATACATGATAAAAGCATATACAAGAATTATTATAACAGTCCAAGCAATGAAATTCAAATAAAAGTGATCAAATGACAATAATAATGGCAACTATAGTTAAGTTTGATTAATAAGCAATGAAAATCTTAACTGAAACACTCTAAAAATATGCTATTGAAACCATCACTATATTATTTGGCATGCCGAAGGGTTGATTTTGTGTCATTGGTTGAAAATATTGAAAATATTGGAATTCAATTTCATAATGAATCAAGAAATATTGTGAATAATAACTGTTGAAAATTCGCGAAGAATGTTAGCATTTGTTGATAACAAATATTTTAAAAACATATTGCACTGTCTAAAATCCTCGATGGTCGATGTGAATTCATTCATATTCCAGACATAATCATTATTACAAAATCAATGCTTTTATTATTACTTATTCAAGTTACAGTTGCCCGGGTATGACAAGGGATTCGTCAAGCGGATAACGCTCATAATTATCCTTCTTTGGTAACGAGATGTGTCTCAGCATGAGGAGTATGTCTACTTCATAAAAGCATAAACAAACAGAGAAGGATTAAAGATATCGACTTGGTGATACCAATACCATCATCTGCCAAAATGAAAATGATTATGGCATTATATAAGTTGTACTCACAATCATACAAATCAAAACTTTCACCGAGCAGAAATGTATGATTAATGTTATCCTTGCACTCCAAATGCAGGCAAGTTTAAGAATCAAGCCTTTATCATTAGACATCACTAAAAAAAAAGGAAATTATCATTTTTTCTTTCATCACAGTCATAATACATTAAAGGAGGTGCTTAATTGATATCTTAAGTCATCACTTAATAATAGTGAATTCCCTATAACATGATTTCGGTGGCGGAATCCTCCCCAGATCGATGTAATATCTTTGCAGTCCTATTTTCATCGGACCTTTAATTGGGGGAGGGAGGGCGGGGCGGCTTCATCTAGAAAACCTGTTGACACTATCTTCGGGAAGGGAATCAGTTAAATATATTTATTCGGATAATACTTTACATTTGTTCATTTACAATTTCCCAAAATAATTATACAAGATAATAAATAAAATACTTAACTAATCGCAACAAGAAGACCATGTCAATGTCTGAATGTGAGGTTATATGCAGTTGCCCTAATTATTGTGAGGCGGAAGTTGCCTGAATATTAGCATTTCAAAGTTAGAGGGAAAGGGGGAGGGGGGGGGGGATTCTGCATCTTTTCCATTTGCTTCCTCGCATATCTCTGTGGGTTCATCCCTTCAGGTAGCTGTGCAAAAGCACCCATGCGGAATATTTCCTTACCGCCACGCTATAGTCATGGTCTTTGTTGAGATGAGATTTTCACGCAAACATTTTGCATTGTCAAATATTCGTTTTAATGTTGCTAGTGACAACGTATTCAATAGAAAAACCTGCCTGGGGCCAAAACGCAATTCATTGGTCTAGTCTGAAGAGAAATGTATCTGTTGTCGCATAACCAACAATCATTTCACATTGCCTCGATCATGGCAATACTTAAATAATATTGGATGGCTTTGGGTGTGATACAAGAATACATTGCTCTCACTATGACAATATTGGGTCCAATATTGTCATAGCGAATGCGATATCTTCTTGTATAACACGAATACAAAGCCATACAGTATTATTATTATTATCTATATCAGGCTGACTATAGCAAAATAACTACATTTGGCTTACCTAGGTAAATGTAAATTGTATCGACAGTTGAAGTTCCCAGATGACAGAGAAATACGAAAACAATATTGATCTTTCATCCAGGTACCAGGGTACTGCACTAAAGATATTAAATACACTGATTTATTGCACCAATTGGAAGCCTTATAGATAATAGATTATAGAAGACTCTAAGATTAATTTCATTGTTTGTAGCAAGTGATAAATAATGCAAATTTCGCAATAGGGTCTGTATAGTAAACATACCCTATTGCGAAATACAGTGTATACCAACTGTGATGGGGTCGCTAATCTCAGAGGATATCTTCAATGGAAATAATCATTGCAAGTCACCCCCTTCCCCAATGAATTATTTCGAAAATAGCCGAAACATTAATGCAATATCTATGTCATTTAATTGCTGCTCTCCTTCGGTTCGCAACTATTATGAAAGGGAATTTACTGGAATACTATCTTTTATTTTCCTATAACATTTATAAGACAAAATCTTGTCACGGGGGGGGGGGGGGATGTGCGGGTGTAGGCCTATGTTGATGTCTTGTCCAACTCGTAATTTGAAATGATAAGAAGTACCGCTCCTGCGCAACGTGGAGCTGAAACATACATTGGTCATGTTGGTGGTTATTTTTATTTTCATAATTCATCAGGAGTTTCAACATGATCGAATAAACCAACATGAGTAAATTTCGTACACAGGGTGATTAGAGCGACTGGTGATCATGATAGGTCTATCATTATACGCCTCGGGATGAAATGCTATGTTCAATCATATTTTCTAAATTAATTTCTCAGCTAAACCCCTCTGTGAAATTAACACAGATTTCCACGACTCCCTCACTTGTGATGCTCATTATTGAGTGGACACACAGAGGTGTGTCCAACTTAAGATGAAGCCGGCGTACATGCAGCCCCCCCCCCCCCCCCCCCCCCTCGATGTGGAGGCCCAGTAAACAAAAATACTTCCATTGCGTCTGTACATGTCGTGGGATGGCCCGAGTATAATTATTATGCACCCCACATTTTGTTCACAGTGAGGTAATTTCAGGCTTATATTTATGAACAGTTAATTTCTACATGCTATTGGCTACATTATTTTTATGAGCAAGCGAGACAGGTTGTTTAAATAAATTATAAAATTACGTTATTATGTATAAGGGACAACAAAATAAAATAGAATATAATCCATAAATAACTATTTTAAAGTTAATGGCTAAATAGCCATTAACTTTAAAATAGTTATTTATGGATTATAGATATAATAATGTATTGTATTGATTAATATTTATGGCCTGGAGATTTTGCCCGGAATAGCCGACAGCTTCTTATGGCTGTACGGTATTTATCAAAGTATTACGTAACGTTGTCATGGC